CTACCTACCTACCAATATCAGAAAAATAAAAGATATATTTCCTCACCAAAGTTTAAAAAAAAAAAATAAGAAGTCACAACACTTGTCCCAAATAAACATATGCTGAAGATAAATGTATTTGAAAAGTCAAAGCAAAGAAGTTTTTTTTAGCAAAAATGTCAGTAGTCATTGAGTCATTTTCTATTGTGTTGCTATTTAGCTTATACACAATGGCAACTAAAAATAGCCCTTCAATATTCTTTTGGGATAAGCAGGTCTGAATAGGCAAGTCTTTTGAATTGTACAGTATATCAGCTGGGCCACTCAGTACATTATTGTAACAAATAATGAAAGACAAATTTTCCTACCAAATATAACAAACAAATAGGAATTTAACAAACCTATGCCAAATGAACGTATAGCAGACAATCACCTTTCGCACATCCAGTTACATACTGTGTTTCCAACACTTCACAATTTACACTTTGTATCTTGTTTTTTATCTATCACTGTAAATGTCCAGCTTTTGTGTCAGTGCTGGTGGGATATTTCCTGTCTCACAAACCTTGCACCTCCATTGTTTACATTGGACTTACTGTCACTCCTTGGTGTGTACTCCCACCCTATCACTGGTTTCCCTGTGGACAATTGCTATATTCTCTCCTCTGTTTATCATTCCATTTCTGATCATTTCATCACTGTATCTCATGTCTAGATATTAATCATGGCATCAAAACAAAAATCTAGTGTTGGTGAAGGTGCTAAAAAGAAGTTTAAGAGTGCAATTATCTCTGATGAAGAAAATATATTTAATTGAGAGGCTCAAAAATGGTCTACTTGTGATGGAGAGAGCATGTGCATTTGGTGTAAGAGAATCAGCAATTCATTCAAATTGAAACTATGTAATGAGTAACCCTGGCTGTGACCTGCTGAAGAAAATGGGAGAGAGTTCCATACAGCTAAATAAGACTAAAAAATACTGATTGAGTGGATTCAGCAGAAAACAAAGAAAAGTGCCTAACTTAATTTCCTTATCATAAGAGAGAGAGAGAGACCTATTGTACAAGAAAATAGTGTGAGCAGGGATGGTTTAATCATTTTAAAATGCATAGCTGTAGGGAAGTAAACTGCATGGAAACGTAACAATACCTGAGGGCTCCAGTGAGTAACAACTCTGAGTCAACCTTAGCCCACAAACCTCATCTATCCACCTCGACCCAGGAACCCCAGCAATCCACAGCCCAGGAACCCCAGCCATCTACCTCATCTCAAGATCCCCTTGGCCCACTAGGGCTCCAGCAACCCTTTCCACTGACATCAAACCCATCATGTATCTACAACCAGGATTTGAGATAAGAAATATGTATAGTACATTAGAATATGCACATTGTTTGATGACTAGGTGATCTAAGTTAAATAATCCTAGGTTAACTATATGATATAATGTACATACTTTTTAATGTGCCCATAACAACTGTGGGATATTGTAAAATAATTAGGCATTTAATTATTATAGCCAAATTAAGAATTTGATTTTTTTTTTTTTTTTTTTTTTTTTTTTTTTTTTTTTTTTGTCGGGAACATTACTCAATTTTTTCCTGATTTAAGGAATGTAATTCATGCAAAAGGTGGCTTGAATAAAGTTTGTCTATAGGAGCACAAAGAGGAATATACCAGACTAGTATAGTGGTACCAACTCTCTATATGAGTAAGGCATTGGTTTTTAAACATTACAGCAAGGAAGAGGCTGGAGGCAATGGATATGTTAAATTTGAGAGCAGTATGTGATATG